ATTTCTTTACAATCTGTTAGAATGATAACGTTAGATCGGGTCGTTTTTTAAAATATTCTTTGTATTTATGGTATATACGYTTTCTCTCACTTATGTATAAATTCAGCTTGAGTTTGACGTCTTGGTTTATCCCTCSCCACGAGAGATTTTCTTCCGAGTTGGATTCTCCGATTTTTGAATCACATTTGACTGAAGATTCGTACAYAAAGAAAACAAACTGTATATAGCATATAAGTGGTACAATGTAGTGTGTGAGAATGAAGGTGGGCCAAATCGGGAACGTGTCACGTATTTATAGTGAATTTCTTCATATAAACATGATTTATTCATTTGCTTATTCACGTACCAGAACAGTAGGTCAAAGGACATTTTCGCGTCTCTTGTGAAGACRGTCCAATAAAACAGTCATCTGCTCTAGTTTTCTTGGTAACCCCTTTTTTCATCGTACACACTCGCTTTCGTCTGCTAACCTCCACATCACAAGGTGTAGTACTGCACAGTGACCATGTTGACCATTCGCTCCAAAAGTATGACGTCACAATGACTAAAATAGAGATTAGAGTTTAATTTCTGGCTTTCATGGCGGCAATGTCTTTTCTTACGCCATTCACATGGCGGCCATGTCTTTTCTTACGTCATGGAACATGGCGGCCATGTCTTTTGTTACGCCATTCAACATGGCGGACATGTCTTTTCTTACGTCATTCAACATGGTGGCCATAACTTTTCTTACGTCATTCAACATAGCTGTCATTTCTTCTGTTACGTCATTCAACATGGCTGTCATGTCTTCTGTTGCGTCATTTAACATGGCGGCCATGTCTTTTGTTGCGTCATTTAACATGGCGGCCATGTCTTTTCTTACGTCATTCAACATGGTGGCCATGTCTTTTCTTACGTCATTCAACATGGCGGCCATTTCTTTTCTTACGTCATTTAAAATGGCCGCTATGTCATTTGTTACGTCGTTTCAGCGCCTTGGAAATTATTGCAACCTTGRCCTTTTCCTGACCTAAAATAAAGTATTCATCTTCCTGGTACATGAAATATTTACGAACCTGTTGGCAAGTCAGAAGAGTTGACCGTAGGTTCTGTTGTTGTGCGTAGTTGAGTGCTTCTGTTGAAACCTGATATRAAAACCGTGACAAGAGAGAGGAGTTTAGCAACACTGTAGCATCAAACGATCATTTATAGATCAAATTAGAATACTTTTAACATATGGACCGTTTTCGAATTAGTCACGACATACCGCTGTGTTGCTTGATTACAGACTCATTTAYTCAGKGTTATAATACCAAGGGTAAAGTAAGGAATGCACAACTTCAACAACACAAACACTTTGAAATTCCACGTGTTCCTTCACTGGAACAAATGAATATTCAAAATAATTCTAAAGGAATCAGTCGAGGCTAACTCTGTACAACAGATAATTCGAAACTGGAGTATTACATGTATAGTGCGCTGTAAGTCAGTACCTTARATGAATCACTCACAGCTACTAATCATCGAGTTCAAGAAGATTTCAACCCATGCATTCATTGCTGTTTTGACATATCAGTCGAGCAAACTAAAAAGTACTTCCTTCTCACCTGATTGGCTAATCATAGTAAGAACAAAAGGAACAGAAGCCCCTCCACCAATAATAAAAAGGCACAACACTACAGCCATTATCAGCACACAACAGCGACGTCTTCGATGCGAGTTCTCTACCCCAACCAGATGATTCTTCTGCACATCTTCTCRGCCTACTGAAGGATCTTCTTGATCGTTACCACCTTGTACGTCTGGGGGARCCATCAAAAAGGACAAAATCTGAAACTTTTTCTTAAGTCAGTGCAAGTACGAGAGGTAACCTCTGCAAGGAAGTAGAGGGACCAGACTGGTACTATTCCTAAGATAGGGAATGAAATATGAACCATTCTCTCTATAATCCCATGCTAATCTTTTATATCCAGTAATAACACGATCGACAAGCCATATTTATTGGCAATAGCTTAGACTGATCCAAAAAGGACTTTAAGTCATAGAGTATGGTATTCTGTCAATAGGATTGGGATGTTATTGCTGACAGCAACGCAAGTGTCCTGTTCAATATATGATCCATTATTCTCTTTAATGGGTGTAGACCTGAATTCTCTACAAATTAGTTTTTATGTCCATTTGATCTTGAAGAAATACCAAGTTTTGTCATAGCGATAAAATATTTTTCTCTAGAATACAATAAATTATGATTAAATGTGAATATTTATATCTAGTGCTCAATACATGAGTCGTTATCTTTGACAATTACATGTCGCATGAACTTTACAATGGTGTAAAGGGTGCACCGAAACGTTGTTCGTTTTTATCGTTGTCTTTCCTATTACAATGCATGTCCTGTGCATGTAAAAAAAAACTATTTCTTAGCGTCCCTTTAAGTCGAACCAATCGGTCCAAGAGGGCAGCTCTCAAATGGTAACGCGTCAGTTCTTAGGACTGGTTTGGGCCGCGTTTAATGAACTAACACGTGACATTTGAGTAATGGCTGTTCGGTCGTTCCATCGGTTCGACTCAAAGCGCCCTTGGAGGGTCCTTATAATACAATGATCGTTTTTTCTACTGATTAGTTTTTCTTCAGGGAAGGCTGTTTTACAACAGGGGGTGATCAATGAGTGCAGGAGCCGGTGATGTAGTCCATGTTGTCCGGGATCTGACAATCTATATTCACTGAACATAAGTATTTGATAAACAATGTTGTGGAAGATTCAAGGGGACGAATCCCCACTCCTGATATTCATCATCATATTTGTTACGATAAATTGAGGATAAATATATAAGAGAAATGTTTAGCTATAGATTTGCTGTTCTGGGGCTTTTACTAGGAATGCAGGAACGCCAGGCAACATGCATAATTTCGTCCAATACATATTATGTAGTTATATAGGAACTAAACTAAGTCAAAAATCTTTAAAAAATAAAAAATCTACAAAGCTTTCGCTGTTGTATCACAGCGTGGGACAATCACAACAGAGCTAGGCTCCAAACTAAGTGAGAGCCCAAAGATCGAATTAGAATTTAGAAGTGCACAAAAGATGTGGTCCTTTCAGTCAATAGAGCTTGATTGGCTGTCTATCTTACTTGATCTTCATATCACTGTACGTCAAGCTTGGAATACCAGGCCATCGAAAGTAGTAACCATAAAGCCCGTTCAGACTCCTAGGGCAATAATATCCGTACCACCATCCCCCCCTCAGGTCACTAGCACAGTTCACGWGATCTATCATGTCATTATCACGATCCATGGTAGAAAAACCTCTTCCGTTTTCATAGGACACCAGTGATCCTCCACGCCCGTTCATCAATGTACCTACACTCAGAGTATAGTTGTACTTTTCGTTGCTCAATTTGAATTCATCATAGAGAGCAAAGATTTTGTGATATCCCATCTGAGTCATGTCTATTCGCAAGGTCCTGTTTCGCTTGAAGGATGTCAGTCTGTGGATCTTATCATTACCCAGCCAAAACTCGCCTGACAGGTTTCCAAAACCGGTTTTGTATTCGTCCCAGGTACGATTGAAGTCTTCAGATCCGTCTTGTCTTCTCTGGAACACGGTCCACCCCCCCACCGTTAGTTTTCATGTCACAGTAGACGTGGAAGGGTCCTCTACCCTCAGGGTCGATCGCGTAGATACCACTTGTGCTGCGAGACTTTCCTTCAGCATTGAGGATTTCTGCACAATCTGGTGGTTTTAATATTGTAATATCGTTAGTTATGTGGGTGCATCGTACAAGAGGCATAGCCCACAAAGCAGAACAGYACCACTGGGATACAAACGTATATTACAAATGATACCATGCACCACGTCCACCTCCATCACCACTAACACTAGCACAAAACAAAACAAAATCACAACATACATGATCAAACGAGTTTTCAATAGCACTGACGGCACTCGGTGGYCAGTGTTTGACCACCATTTGAAGCAGACAATGAGATTCAAAGACTTTTAAAGGCTCWAAGACTTAAACACTACTTAAAACCCACAAAAGACCCCTCGTAGCACGTCAGAATGCAGCTCAGTAGAGGACATGGCAATACCTATCCAGTTCTAGCTGATGAGATTTAAACTCTTTTGTTTCGTCCTCCAAATTGAGTTGCTTTGACRTTATACATGCAAGGGGTCTATAGCTCATGTTGCGACRCGGTTCTTACCAAGACAATATGGCAACAAAGGGCAAAGTCTTGTCTCTTCATAATGACCCACACACGTCCTGCCCCGTGGMATACGAACACCATTAGATGACACATTACAGACTCGATCACGTGTACTGAAATAAAACTGACATGATGTATTGCGACACGGTGACCATGACGACCAATCRCTCCACCAATAGAATGCATACTTCTCTTGAATGCGTTTTGTGTCTAAAATAGCATATAAAAAAAGTTAAATAATGTAAGCGACGCCTTGTGACGTGGCAAAATATATTTTTTCATAACGCAACCATCATGTCAATGTAGATGTTGATCAGCCTCATCACGCATTCAAAGGAACGGTTGGAATMTTTCCTCATTTCTAAAACATGCCCGGCAAAGAGGTCCCACATTGATTAACAAGAAAGATAAAAAGCCTACCCAGCAAAAATACAAAAAAYCTCCGTGGGCAACAAACCTTTCATATTGGCCTCGTTCAGTTCCTGTGCCAATCTTTTCTTCAAATCTAAATGTTCATATAAAAGTAGCATTTTTTATTTTGAGTGTTACGGGCACATGCAATTAAGTTGAGCTATCTAGTATAGACTATGATGATGTAAAATTTGAAAAGACAGCTAGCGTGAATGCCATATAAATAAGGGGTCATCTCCGTCTGTCTAAAGCACTTGCTTTTCTTAACACTATGGGTCGTACAGGATTGGGTCTTCGGTTCGATTCTTGTATTTTATTCTTTTTCTTTTGCTACAACGGTTGTCTCTGGGTTCCACGGTTTCTCTTCCTCCTCCGTAAGAAACTAACATTTGCACGAGTTATGTTTACAAATTGTACGCATATAGTACCTCCATGTTTAAAAAGTTCATAAAAAATAAATAATATTCTTACCTATTTGGCTGAAAATGCAGAGCACAGCAGAGATGACGAYGACAACTCCAACCAAAATAAAAATGAAAAACATGAACAGAATAACGGCAAAAAATCGGCCATGTTTTCGATTCTCTACTCCTGTCATAGCTGTCGTCTTCTTCACGTCGTCTTTTGCTGTCTTATTGACGCACTTTTCCTCTTTACTTTGGTTTTCCATCGTGAGAATGAAAAGATCGATTAGTAGACACTTTGTCAAACGTTGACAAATGTATAATTTACCGCGAGCAAAGAATCCGACGCGGATTGCGAAAATGAATCTTGAACTATTGATCGGCAACAGAAAGTATGCGTTAACTTCCCTGGAGGAATATGACACTCTGAACAAAGGATAAGAAATTAATTGAACAAATAAAACAATAATCTTTTATATCCTTTAATAAATCCCTGTTAATTCTTCTAATGAGTATTAATCTCTAGCATGTTGACATTATTGTTCAAAGGGTTACTTGCAGATTAACCTTCAACCTGGAATACGATGTATGCACACTGTATACAGCTATTTTATTGGTGATGGTTTTGTTGAATGTGGCATACCAATCCCGAAATGCACCATGGGTGATGTAAAATACAATCAGCAAAAGGTCACAACGATGTAGAATTTTACAAAACTTTCTAGCTTTGTCTGCACGCTTTTTCGGTMAAGTTTCTTCTGTACATGTGCAAAAATTAGTTACAAATGGAATTTATTATATTTCAAGCTTGGYAAGAATACACTTATTTCAACAAAGTTAGTCACCAAAAACCTAGAAAGCTGAGATCACTGAGCATCATGGGAAACTTTTCATATCAAAAAATCATATATATACAAAGCTTTTTAAATACAAATTGCAGCTCGATGATGCTCAGAAGAGGTGAAACTGTAACCGGGTAAAAGATTCGCAAGTCCATGGACAGTTATCAAGCGGTTGAACGTGTAAAATGAATCTACCCATAATCCTAGTCGGCCTCAGCTTTATAGCTTTTCAGGTGACTAACTTTATTGAAATAAGTGTATGCAAACCGAAGTATGAATGATGCAACAAAAGCTTCATCAACCTTCAATTTGGAATAGCTGTATACGACAAACTAGATATACAACTAGATTAGAAAACTTAAATGTTGATATTAATTTACAAATTACTCCATACAATGACAATATACTTCAGATGATGAATGCTGCCTTTGATTGGATTTTAATGAGGTCTGCAAAAGAAAACTGTTAAAGCATTAAGCTTAAGCCAACATAGGGAAAATAATTGAATAGCTTCACTGATGGCGTTTTCAAATTTATTGGAAGTTATTTGGCGTAAAAATGTAGCTGAAGATCATAGTTGTTGCTAGGTAACAGTCAAAATCATGCTTGTTGCTAGGCAACCGTTAAAATTGAATGCATGTGTCTTGCTTTTCTGAGTCTGGCCTAAAAATCTATGAATTAGACGTGCCATGAATTCCATCAGTTCAGAGATCGCGCCTTATTATAAGGAAATATATTTTATTATACATTGTATATTGTATTAATTGTAACCGTGCAAAATAATTAAAAGGAATAAGTGGAAGTACTGAATGGTTCGGTCTATATGGCTCGAAGTTTCATTTCACTGAATTTCAAAGCCACAAAGCTTCTGTTAAATTGATACCACGTAACAGCAGTCTGATCGTTGATACTACCCTCCACATACATTCCATTGAGATTTGAATCATGACAGTCGCTATACCACCACGCTCCTTTCTTAGAGAGAGCGCAGTTTATTGAATGAACATCATTATCTTTATCCTTTGTCGAAAAGGCCATTCCGTTATGTMCTCTTATCAAAGAGTCGCCGGCAGATCCTGAATAGCCTTCGACATTCAGTCTATAATTCAACCCAATGCTAGCCACGTTAAATCTACGATATTGAGCGTATTTCATGTTACCATTCCAATCTTCAAGGTCCACGTGTAAGCTCGATTCGTTCGCTGCTGTCAGTCTGTGTATCTTCTCATTACCCAGCCAAAACTCGCCTGACAGGTTTCCGAAACCGGTTTTATATTCGGTCCAATTACGAAAGAAGTCTTCAGATCCGTCTTGTCTTCTCTGGAACACAGTCCACCCCCCACCGTCAGTTGTCATGTCACAGTAGACTTGGAAGGGGTGCAGACTGTCAGGACGGATAGTATACACACCACTGGTCCTGGAACCACCAGATAGACGCCATTCTTTACAGTCTATGAAGAAAACAACACTTTTGAGTCATTTGATAAGGCGATAATGTGCTTAGTCGAGAATTAAACAAATTCCTTAGTTACCTCGACAAARAKYAAGCTTTCTTGTAAGCACTATTGGTCCCGAGCAGTATGTCCCATGATGCTTTGAGTGCGATAATCGGCACTTGCGCATGCGCCTTTGGTATCCACAAGTAACATTGTGAGGCAACCAAGAGCTCCATTCAGACCAAGAATAAACATCTAGAAAGTAGAAGATGAGATTTTAGATACATTGCATTAACAAATGTTACCGCACTTCACATGTTTAACCTGTTTGTCATGTTTGATCAGGATTCCTGTTTTACCTGTTTGTCATGTTTGATCTGTATTCCTGTTTTACCTGTTTGTCATGTTTGATCTGGATTCCTGTTTTACCTGTTTGTCATGTTTGATCAGGATTCCTGTTTTACCTGTTTGTCATGTTTGACCTGGATTCCAGTTTTACCTGTTTGTCATGTTTGATCTGGATTACTGTTTTACCTGTTTGTCATGTTTGAACCGGATTCCTGTTTAACCTTTTCGTCCTGTCGTACTTGTTTTTTTATTACCTGCTTCTTTCGCAGTTTGTTGCCTGTTTCCCATACCCTGGATATTTTGTGTCATTTGCTTTACCTGCTAATGTTGTTGGGGTTACTTTTGCTGTTGCAGTTGTTATTGCGGTTGCTGTTGTTGCTGGTATTGGTGTTGCTGCTGTTGCTGCTGTTGTTGCTGTTGCTGTTGCTGTTACTGTTACTGTTCTTGTTGCTGTTGCTGTAGTAGAAACGTCCTGAGGTCCTAAAAAGCAAAAAAAAAAAAAACTTTGAAACTTTGAAAAGTARAAAAAAAAAAAAAAAATTAAGGTGCAAACTAGACAAAAAGGTTTGCATATGAATTTGAATTACTAGCTCAAGAGATTTAAATCCCGTATCCCGCTTACCTTCTTGTTGCTTTTCGGGATTCCCTCGAGTACTAATGACAAGTGACGCCGTAATGGCGACTACACTGAGTAAGATAACACCACTGACAATTACTGTTATTGCGATTACTTGGACTCTTCTGAAGGGACGTGARCTTAACACACTTATCTCGTTCTCCGTGCTGGTCGTACTCCTGATCATTGTCTCAGCGGGTGCTTGTAGGTTTGTCGTTGTTAATGACATCACTATTCGTAGAAAAATCACATTGACTAGGACATAAACAAGCGCCTCAAAACTTCAAATACAAAAGAAAACAGTTTCCTAATCTATAAGCTCGATTTATCCATGAAATCTAACGCAGAAAACGTCAATTCCTAAGCTTTATAGGAATTATCTTAGAACTGACTCAGTATAAAATGTTTTCCAGCTTCTGTCAAAGTGAAACGAGTGAAAGTAAGCAAAATAACGATAGGAATACTAATGCACACGGAGGTGACATCTTTTTGATGAGTGTCTTGAACGAACCAGTCGTTAAGGGATTGACAGAATGATTATTGGAATACTATGTGGGCAAAACAAATAATGTGATTAAGTCCTTGGTAATACGTCTGGTAATACTTCAAACTCATTAATATTAGTATTGTTTTCAGGGGGRAAAAATCTGACGGTAAAGAAATGCAGATATTTTTCGATGAAACAATCCTGAAATCAAATGTCTATCATTATTACAATAGCAACCATCCAAACCTAGCTTTTTGGGTTCCCTTTGGTCTGGATTCGTTACCGCATCCCACTTGCTGTCTGCCGGCTCTAAAGAAATCCGCTGACCTGAACCTACAGGCGCGCTAGGAATTTTAAAATCAAACAAAAATGAAATWAACTTTTTAGTGAAAATATTGTCATTTAAACACTCGAGGTTAAAAGAATTCGATAAGCGAGATAAAAGATTACATAGTACTTATGTGAGCCGGCGAAATAAGCCGCTGACCAGTCTCACACAGCTAATATACATCACCACAGTGATTTTCAAATTTTATGWTTTTATTTAATGTATTATTTTTTAACACTAGACATTTTAGAATTCATACGAGGCGTTCAAATCTATAATGACAATCAAACGAGTGTGATTTTCTAGTGAACAAAATATAWTCTTGGCTAGGATTTACAGCGAAGTTTYTCGTAGTCTTTTTCACTCCACACTCTGGCTTTAACATCAAAAGGCTTATAATGAGTAGGACTACGGTAACCAGGGTAACCAACAACAAACCCACTAATTTCAAAATTTACTCCTACATTCGAAACAACATTAAGGGTGTAGTGACCCGGCTTTACATCGGTTGCCAAGGGATACAAACGAGTTTGAGACCANCATGTGTGACGGCACCCTGTTTTAAAAAAGACAGGTGTGCTCACTTGAATGAATTTGAAAAAAAATCTGACGGAAAAGAAATGCCGGATCATAGCAGATAGTTTTCGATGATTATCATTATTACAAAAGCAACCATCCAAACCTAGCTTTTTGGGCTCCCTGTGGTCTGGATTTGTTACCGCATCCCACTTGCTGTCTGCGGGCTCTAAAGAAATCCGCTGACCGGAACCCACAGGCGCGCTAGGAATTTTAAAATCAAACAAAAATGAAATACCATTGAAAGCAATAAACGTTTTAATGAAAATATTGCCATTTAAACATTTGAGGTTAAGAGATTTTGATAAGCGATATAAAAGATTACATAGTATTTATGTGAGCCGGCGAAATAAGCCGCTGACCAGTCTCACACAGCTAACATACATCACCACAGTGATTTTCAAATTTTATGATTTTATTTAATGTATTATTTTTTAACACTTAACTTTTTAGAATTCATACGAGGCGTTCAAATCTATAATGACAGTCAAACGAGTGTGTTTTCCTCGTATTACGATGAGTCGTTCATCGTTAAAGGTAGTAAACAAAATATATTATTGGTTAGGATTTACAGCGAAGTTTTTCGTAGTCTTTTTCACTCCACACTCTGGCTTTAACATCAAAAGGCTTATAATGAGTAGGACTACGGTAACCAGGGTAACCAACAACAAACCCACTAATTTCAAAATTTACTCCTACATTCGAAACAACATTAAGGGTGTAGTGACCCGGCTTTACATCGGTTGCCAAGGGATACAAACGAGTTTGAGACCAWCTKTYTCCACATTTTTTGGTTGARAATTTCACCTTCGTCTTGGGGACTTCACTCAGCCACATTTTCACGGACGTCGTTTTGTGGATCATTCGGAAAATCACCATTACAGACCGSARGGACTTCTGGGAAGAGTAGGGGAGATTTGGTATGTTTAACTTGACCTGGAGATGTTTTCTGCCTCGTTTGGCGAGGTAACCTGAGTACGAATYAGAACGTATAGCTGTATGCCACTTGGMGTCCTGYTTCGACTYTTCCCTCGTGATCCAGTGGAATCCTTTGRACTTGACRACTTCGGCAGACAATGTTTGATTCAAAGGGATCTTCCAGTTTGGTGTCAGGTACGTTAAACACRAYGAGTTRGCTAGTTGAAAATCGTTGATCGAAGAATCAAGAAACAAAGGCTTTATGYGCAAAGGGCCATCATCTTCTTCTTCCCTCGGGGTAAACGTTTTCGAAATTTTAGTCGAATTATAATACTGACTGAATATTTTCTCCATATACTGAATAACCAATGATATAACTTGCGCATGCGCCTTAAATCCAACATGCAAGCCGTCGGCGCCGAACATGTTTTTTTCTATTTTCATCTTTTGTCGTTTGCCAGACTTGGTCAGCGGACACACGAAATCGCGCCAACTGAAAGAAAGTACCCCATAATGCTTTGCCAGCTCTGCATATCCAAGGTCTTCCATGTTTAAACAATCAGTATTTGTGATTTTCCTCTCGTAAAGACTTCTGTCCACCAAGTTGAWATATATTACCAGCGGTTTCGTTGGTAGCGCGAGAAGTCTACGAGTCAACAGCTCCATGGACTTTGCAGCCTCACCATATTTATATCCATAATCATTGATKGCCAGTTCAACCAATACGATGTCTGGTAGAATTTTGGGTAAAAAATTTTGAAAGCAAAACGCGAAAAAATCGCTTCCGGTTCCGCCGATGGCCATTTTGTATGACGTCASCTTGGAGCCAGTMTTCTCGTAGATAATTTTATTCCACCAATCAGTGAATAGATTGTAGTACATTCGATGGGCTTTCTCGACTCCTCCGCCAGCAGAGTTTGAACCTCCTATTGTGATCATATTCAACGGACGTCGACCAAAAGCCTTCGCTAAGAGGCCTTGAAGTGCCGACGGCAGTTTGTCAATAGTTGGCTGTTGAGCTGATGTCCTTTGGTCGTCTGCTGGCAWGCTTATCATGAAAACAAAGGACGAAAAGAATTACTAAAAGACAGTTAAAGTTTTTAGTATAAGAATTATCTAATATCCATCAGTTATCTTTAAGCTAGGTGTAATTTTCTTGTATTAAAAATGATTAAAGTAGTATGATTTTCTCTTTCGGGGGCGCAGGTCGACGTCAGATTTTCCGAAGTCGTCTGCATGTAATCGTACTTGAAGCTGTAGTCTTYATATAAAGACATATATGTCTATAAAGATTACTTGAACATAACCGCTAATGAAGAAAACTTTATCGGGTATACTACAGGTCGCAATCCAATGGGAACAAAGGCCGATGAATTATTCAATATATTCTAATCCGTATTCATGTCATATTAATTTGATAATAAGTAGGTCCTTAACAAACGAAGAATTGAATGCAAAAAATAAATAAAATCTAAGAATTAAGACGTTGATGTTTAGTATAGTGTKTACATAAGTGTTTCTGCTAACACGGATTAAAACCAAAAAAAGATAAAAAATCAGCAAACATTTGTAAGGTATTTTTTAAGATATATCTGATCACCTCATCGAAGTTGGAAATATTAAAAACGAGTACAGAAAAACGCCAAAGATGGAAAACAAAAAACTTGTATTATGAAGTCTTACTTTACACCGTACAGTACCTCATCTCATGAATTAAGTAAATATGATCTTGTTTTTTGATATCTTCTTCTCAATTTCACGCCTCAGACTGTCGTATTTACCTTGTTTGTCGAGAGCGTTCAGCTTTGCTCTTTCTATCGATCTTCAATTCTGAATCTTTTGTAGCAGATCTCTTTGAAGAACATTCCTTTGCATTCACTTCATTAAAAARAAAGAGAAATAAGATGAAATAARAAAARTTGCAAGCCTTCATTGTCTAAGTTTACACAATACCAGGGAACAAGCAAATGAACACTGATTGCTACGAAGSGGAAGATTTCACCGGTACCTACTAAAAAAGTCATTGCGCATTTGGTGGYTTATTCACGGTTCATAAAATCTCCGCATGGCGTCCGACATAGACCGACCGAATGCGAATATAGCCAACGTTTAATTCTAGATTTTTATTTATTTATTTTTTCATATCGTTTTAGCCTATAATCTTAAAGAGCTCGAGTTGAAAAATATCACAAATTCTTTAAAAAATATTGAGAAAAAATTTACCACACCAGAAAGGGTCTACAATAGGACTTTTGCAATAGATTGACACGTGAAATTTGGACTAATTCCTTTATACAAAATTTTTTGGCTGGATTACTAATGTCGTTTCTAACACCTTTCCCAAAATCCTTTTTTCCCCTCATAAGATACTTTCGATTTAAAGTTTGTTTGTCATCCAGCAGAGCCTCCCCAAGGGACCTGAGCTGAATTGATTCGTTATCAAAGTGATATATCAGCACGTTACTGTTTGTTGCGAAAGGATTCTCATGACTAAACGTACCGAACTTCTCAGTGTAATTTTGATTCCAAATGACCTCATTGAAATTTTGAGAATAGCGTTCWATCTTTCCAAAACACACCTTTTTGCTTGCAATACTATGTTGGATTTTTCTTGGGTAAGTAGTTTGGAAAACATGAAGAAAAGAAAGCACTAGTTCAGGTTCCTCTGATGGCCATTTTGTATGACGTCAATTTTCAAGCCCGCGAGCGTTCTAGTAAATAATCTCATTCCACCAATGAGTGAAAAGATTGTAGTACAGTTGATTGGCTTCCCAAAGGTTTCAAAGTTTTTTATTTTCCCCAAGTTATAGTGTTAAGGTAAAATTAACACGAAAAAAAAAGAGATTTAAATTGCATCGGGATCCATTGTTTGAAATGCGTACGCCATGCAGAGAATGTCGGTGAAGCTAGACGGTTGACCCGARCACGTAAACGACTGGTTAAACAGGTGTAGCAAGCATGTGTGACGGCACCCTGTTTTAAAAAAGACAGGTGTGCTCACTTGAATGAATTTCTTAACTTCAGTGTTATTATGCGCTAACTATGTTTACTATAGTTACTATAGTTACTATGGTTAGTATATTTACTATGCTTACTATAGTTACTATGATTACTATGATTACTATGGTTACTGTCGTTACTATGATTACTATAGTTACTATGGTTACTATGGTTCTGTCGTTACTATGATTACTATAGTTACTATGGTTACTATGGTTACTATGGTTAGTATAGTTACTATACTTAGTGTAATTATCATGCTTACTATAGTTACTATGTTTACTATGGTTACTGTCGTTACTATKGTTACTATKGTTACTATGGTTACATGTWTGGCTCCGGTAACCATAGTRATAAGGAGAYATAATCATGGTTCTCATGGTTATTTAGTGTCCTCCGATGTTGTCAACAGCGCCATCTCTGGTAATCCCTAAGGCTCCAYACACTGTATCGCACATCTAAAGGTTTATAGCCCTCGTAGTCATGGTAACCAGGATATCCAATCACGAGCCCGCTGAACMTAACCCTCCCTTCTAGCCTCGATAAAATATTAAGGGTGTATAAACCAGGAGATATATTGGTTGCTATGGGGTACATATGAGTCCGTAACCTTGTAGCATTACATTTAATGWCCTTGTTGATTTTTACTGAAGAAGAGCGTTCGTCGTTAAGCCACATTTCGACAGATGTCGTCGCGGGAACATTCWGTAAGATGACAGTCACTGAACTCAAGGGTGATTCTCTGCTAGGGACTTCGAATTGAACTTGTAAAAAACTGTTACTTGATTGRCTGGACCATCCCGCCGAAGCRTCAGATCTCTTTGCACCGTGAGGTGTGTACTGACGAATGGATTTGCTCGGGGGAACRAAAACAAAACCTACAGACTGACTGATGTTAGCAGTGAGCGTTTGTTTGAGAGGGATTTTCCAATTCGGCGTTAGATATGACAAACACAAGGCGCTAGTTAATTCAAAATTAGTCATATAAGAGTCTAAAAACAATGGATTGATCAGTGGATTCTGTTCTATTTTTGTCCGAAAACCTTGGTTGCTTCTGTTGAAAAATTTATAGTTGGAAAGGCTCTTATTGAAATAGTCTATCAGCATGGATGCAATTAGCGCATGTGCTCTGAAGCCAATGTGCGCTGTCCCATCCGTACTGAACATATTAGGCTCAGCTCTCATTTTCTGCCGCTTGCCAGAACAGGTCAGCKGACATACAAAATTGCGCATGCTAAAAGACATTATCCCATAATGCTCTGCTAGCKGWGTAAATCCAAGGTCTTCCATGTTTAAACAGTCAGGGTTTGTGACATCATTCCCAAACACACCTCTATTGACCACGTGCACATACATCACGAGGGGTTTCGACGGCAGTGAAAGAAGTCTACGAGTCAATAGCTCCATGGGCTTAGCAGCCTCGCCATATCTATATCCATAATCATTAACAGACAATTCGACCAATACCATGTCTGGTTGCTCCTTGGGTAAGAGGTTTTGAAAACAGAAAGAAAAAAAATCACTACTGGTTCCGCCGATGGCCATTGAGTGTGACGTCAGCTGTGATTCACTCATGGCGTAGATGTTTCTATTCCACCAATCAGTGAATAGATTGTAAAACAGTTGATTGGTATTCTTGACTCCTCCCCCAGCAGAATTGGAGCCTCCTATTGTGATCATATTCAACGGGCGTCCAGAGTGAATCTGTGAGAAGAGACTGTAAGGCGGTAGTTTTATGGTGTTGTGAGGGAACACCGTTATATAGAGAGGATTTTGCACCTGCTTCGTATCCTGGTATCGTGCTGAAATGAATCAAACATTAAAGAGCTGAAGATTTTAACAGTGAGGCAATAAATGAAAAAAACTTTTTTTGAATAAATTTTAAAATGATGCCAAGTGCGGGATTGTAGCCTATTTCTTCTTTTGCGTATTTTATGATAAGGGTTATTTGTAGTTTAAGTTATCGTTACTTGCCAAAATTAATTTTCAAGTATCGTCAAAACTGTTACCTTTTGTTCGTTTTGATTGCAATGGCTTTTGTTTAATACCTGTCTGCCAGCAAAAATCTTAAAGTTGATGTCTAGTTATTACTTGATTTCAAATATAGATTAATATTTTTAAAAAGCACCAATCTGTCGGTACTCATAGGATCTTGTCTCATAATGAATAAATTCTCGTAATACAATACCTTGTCAAATGTTGTGAAGCAGCATAGTTGTACTCCCTCGTCATGCTCGCCTTTTTTCTTATTTGCATCGCACCCAATTTCCAAACCAAAACGCTCAGAAAAACTAAGAAATATCTGTATTTTCCTTTCATTTTTTTCTTAAATATTGTCTATTCCCTCTTGCTTCTTTTAAATAGAAGGCTTCCAACGTTATTTTTGTTTAGTTATGCCTTTTTCATGCACGATAGCGTTGGAATAATCGGAGCTTAGTAGTGTTATATTCAAACTAGTATTTCATTCATGGCTCGCTGATTATAGTGCTACTACGATGAAATTTCTGACTTGCTTTTTTTTGCCTGGATTGAAAGGCATTTGATGATGTGAAATATCACTTTCCTTTTCCAAAAAAAATTTTTTCCCTTCAAAAGACATTGGAGTTTAAAAAATGGTGGCCATTTTTGCTGATGACGTCATGTTCTCACATACTTGAGCAGCCTAAGCTAAGCTAAGCTATATCTCATCCCAATTTGACATAGCTCATTTTAAATGCGAGCACTGATTGGCTAGAAGTGATGTATACAAGCGGGTATTTCAGGTTAATATTCCAGTGTTGTCATGGTGATGTGATTTCTAAATTTGTTTGAATTTCTGTGAATTTCTCCCTCTGGATATATGTTCTCAAAGATGTCACAGAATTCAGGCTCCGAATCTCAAACCCTTGACTGCAAAGCTATCGCTATGGCTATGATATCTAAGCCAATGAATTTTACTATAGAATCAACCAAATTTATACAGACAATTGACATCTTTGACAAAAGATCAAAAGGAACAACTTTAGTAACTTGCCTGGCAAGTTTACGGAAATCGAAAAAAGCGATTTCAGTTCATTTTTCAAAACGACTAGTGAAATGGTGACGCAACACTACGATACTTAACAAACTTTCCCTGAGTCTAGAAAGAGGGTTTTCGGCTACATGAACTAATTGCTTTGGATCGTTATATTTTGCTGCCACAAAGAAACTTCCGACTGCCTTTATTTCTAAACGCGTCCATAGAAATCGTCGAAATTTCGTTACCTTCAAGATAATCATTTCAACTTGAAGTGCTCTTAAACCATTTTTTTAAACAGACGTCTTATTTCGATGAAATGGCTCGCTGAAATAGGAATGTATAAAATGTGACTGTGTTGTTATGGTAACCCTGGTCGTAATGAAATGTAAACTTGACTTGTTTATAATGATTTCTTTCAAATTAGCATGTCGGTTCCGATGCATTTCCCGATCAAAAATAGAGCCACTTTGAACAAGATTACAGCGGGACTGATAAGACTACTTTCACGATACGGCGGCCATCTTGTCAGGCGGTAAAGACTTAATTTATCTTTTGCTGCATTTTCTTCTGGTAAGCTGTCGATATCAATGGACTTCATTAATTTAACGAACCTTCTATTTGTCCCCTGGACGCAATATAATGCCTCGCAATCCAATATGGCCACCGTATCGTAGCCTGCGTCACATCTGGAATTTTTCTTCGTTAATTTTCGAAGAAAATTCCGGATGTGACGCAGGCTACCGTATCGTCGACGTAGCTCCTTTGTATGTTTTTAAGCTTGTATGGCTAGGCAAAGTAAACAGGGTGCTAATAAATTTTTTTTTTTTTTTTCAATATTGATATCATGAATAGTCATATACAAAATGGTTTAACAGCGAAGTTTATCAAACTTTTCAAGACTCCACATCTTTGCTTTGACGTCAAACGGTCTGTAACCCTCGTAACCTTGGTAACTCGGATACCCAACCACGATACCGCTGACCTCAAACCATCCACCTCCGTTAGAAATAACATTAAGAGTATGGTAACCAGGGGAGATTCCCGTTGCTAAGGGTTCTAATCGAGTTTGGTACATGTGATGTCCACATTTATTGCTGTCGACAGTAATGGAGGACTTCTGGTCGTCATCTAGCCAGATCTTCGTGGACGCGTGGTTGTCCTTTGTCCTGAAGATCACAGCAACTGAGCGAGTTGGTAGACCTTTATCGTAGACAAGGAATTGAATTTTGAGTAAACCATTTTTGGACTCGGATGCCCAGCACCCGTACGCATCAGTGCGGAATGGCAAGTGCTTCGTGACTTTCTTCGAAGTTGCTGGTGATACGAACTTGAAGTCCTTAGAATGCGTCACCTTGAATGTCAGAGATTGTCGGAGTGGGATCCTCCAGTCTGATGTCAGAAAGGACAGACACTGTGAATAAGCCACATCTGTGTTGCTGAAGGAAGACTTCAAGAAAACTGGCTCGATTAATGAGTCAGTCAACTGAGAATCGCCAAAGCTTCTTTTTTGTCCAGGTAAATACGATGTAAAACTTTCCTTGAAATACTCGATTATCTTAGATGCGACCTGCGCATGCGCTTTACTACCAATGTGTGACCCGTCCTTATTAAACATATTCGTTTCGRWGTTCATTTTCTCTCGACTGCCAGAACTGGTCAGCGGACATAAAAAGTCGCGCCAACTGAACGAAGGAATCCCATAATGCTCTGCTAGCTTAGTAAATCCAAGGTCTTCCATGTTAGCACAGCCAGTGTTCGTGACATTCTTCCAATACATACCTCTATCAACCAAGTGTACATACATCACGAGGGGTTTCGACGGCAGTGAAAGAAGTCTACGAGTCAATAGCTCCATGGGCTTAGCAGCCTCGCCATAYTTATATCCATAATCATTAACAGACAGCTCGACCAATACCATGTCTGGTTGCTCCTTGGGTAAGAAGTTTTGAAAACAGAAAGAAAAAAAATCACTTCCGGTTCCGCCGATGGCGATTTTATGAGCCTGCAGACTAGAGCCAGTGGTTTTGCTTATTTCTCTGTTCCACCAACTGGTAAATATATTGTAATATATTTCATTTTCGTAATGCATTCCTCCTCCTGCTGTATTAGATCCTCCTATAACAACCATGTGCAGTGGACGCTTTTGTTGAATCTTTGTCATCAAGTTTTGTAGTGGAAACGACTGGACAGCGGTCTTCCTATCAGGTTGGACAGCGGTGTTAGCAGTTCTTGAACTTCGAAACCTTGTATAATAAAAAAATTGTAAAGAAATTAATTCAAAGTTTGTTAAAACTTGAGGCAATCAAAGTGTATAGTAGTCTCCTACGGAGCCGCTATTAGTGTCATCACGCAAYGCTTACTCCCCTACAAAGCGTTGCTTGACGACACTAATGCCGCCGGCGTAGGAGCTAAGAGTATAGTCGAGTTCAGTTGTTTTAAAGATAACTAGGACTAGTTAAATACAAATCTCAGGTGAAGCTAAGTATAAAATTGTGGGCTGTAGAAGGGGGGCTGTAGAAGAGGGGCTGTAGAAGCGGGCTGTAGAAGAGGGAGGCTGTAGAATTGGGGCTGTAGAGGG